TAATGTTGATTGTGATGGAATTTCTAATGCCAGGGAAATTGATTGAACGCGGCAATTATGCTGCAATAGTAACTCAGGGGAGATGGGATCGCTTTCTCCTGGCCGTAGCCTTTTGGTTATTTAAAATAATCCAATTTGCAAGGATAATTATGTATTAGCGTTTTATCTGCCACTTGAAATGAACAGGGGAGTTTCGATACTGGCCCAGCATTAGCAGGTTATTGCTGCAAATTACTTGATATCTGCTTTCTTTCACATAAAGAGGAAATTAGGCGATCAATTACCAAAAAAGGGCGGATAGAGAGGATAGGAGGGGCAAGCGCGCCCTCTGCTGGCCACTGGGCAGCACAGCAGGGCTGCCTGGCGGCTTCCAGAAGCCCCTGTCCCTAGTGCAGGAGCCCACAGGGAGGTCCCCACTGGACACTGGGACACTGCCATCTCCTTAAGAGGAAAGGTGGAGCTGGAACTGAGCTTTTGCTGGGCAGAAAACGGGGAAAGAGAAAACTCCAAGCAGCCAAATGAAGGAGCAGCCCCACCTGCCGGCCCCATCCACAGCCCACACAACAGCAGCATCCAGCAATGCCCCAGCTGATGGAGGTCTTGGCCACCCAGGAGGGCTGAGGGAGGGTCCGGGAAGAGCTCATTGGCTCTCCAGACACTGCAGCATTAAACGAAACAAAGCTGGGCCCTACCCAGGAGCCCACCTGGCCAGGGCTGAGGATAGGCAGACCTCAGTTCTTAGGCGGGCAGGGAGGGAGATGGTGGGCCTTGCAGGAGGGTACCTGTGGGACCCACGCACCCACTTCCCGGGCCTCAGCCTCCCATCTCCTCAGCAGACACCCTGGCCATGCCCATCTCCCCTGCAGCCAGCTACCTGAGTGGCCAGGCTTGGCCTCTCACCTCCACGTGCTCCCTGCCCACTTGAGCGCTTGCAGGCTCTGCTCCTCGGCCTGGTGTCCACAGCCTTACACACAGGCCCTCCTGACTCACTGCCCACTCAGGCCAGACACCCTGGGGCTCTAGGTCCTCCCCTGCCAGGGTCCTCCCCTCTACCTCCCCGGATTCCCAAGTAGCCAGAACCAACCCCCTTTCCCTCCTGTGGCCTACAAGACCCTTTCCTGGGCCCTGGTCCTCTGCCCCGCTGGCTCCAACCCCTCCAAGCCACACTCCTGGACAGTGAACTGGCCCCACAGCCTCCCTGTGCTCCTGGAACACAGTAAGCTCGTTCCCACCTCCACCTCAGCCTGCAGAGCTGAGCCCTGTTCCCTCCTCTCTGCTCAGGTCACCTCCTCAGAGAGGCCCTCCCATCCAGAGAGCACCTCTCTGCAGCTTGCCCAATGCTATGCCCCTGACTGTTCCTCAGAAGGCATTTTCCACCTAGAAGCACCTTTCTGGCCAATGTACAAGCATTCTGGTGGCTGTCTCCACCACTGGAAAGTGTCTCCAGCCTCATCTTCTCTTTACCTTCACCGCAGTATCCCCAGGAGCCAGCAGGCCGCCAGGCACAGTGGCTCAACCGTGCTTGCCAGATGGGCCAGTGGTAGTCAAGTGAGTGAGACGCCTCCCCAGCCCTTCCTCACACAGGACCCTCTCCTCTCACTCCATGCAGTCATCATGCTGGTCTTTTTTCTTTTTCTTTGAGACAGAATCTTACTCTGTCACCCAGGCTGAAGTGCAATGGTGCCATCTCGGCTCACTGAAACCTCTGCCTCCTGGGTTCATGCAATTCCCCGCCTCAACCTCCCAAGTTCCAGAATTACAGGCGCTCGCCAGTACACCTGGCTAATTTTTGTATTTTTAGTAGAGACGGGGTTTCTCCATGTCGCCAAGGCTGGTCTTAAACTCCTGACCTCACATGATCCACCCACCTTGGCCTCCCCATGTGCTAGGATTACAGGCGTGCGCCACCACGCCCAGCCTCATGTTGGTCTTTTTTTATTTTTTCCTTTTTTTTTTTTTTTTTAAATTCAGTCTCCATAGAGACTGGCAAAAATTGCCAGTGCCGACTATATTTCAAGTCATAATGGGAGAGTATTGGGAAAGGTTTTCAATTAGCAATAATCACGCCTCAGATAAACCTCACAGGCTACAATGCTGTCGCCGCGCAAAGCTTCATGTTGGTCTTTGCGAGTGTGGCTGGGCCCAGTGGCTCACACCTGTAATCCCAGCACTCTAAGAGACTAAGGCAGAAGGATCACTTGAGCCCAGGAGTTCAAGACAGGGTCTTACTATGTTGCCCAGCAGAGGACTATGTGTTGTAACATAGCAAGACCCTGTCCTTACAAAAAATTAAAAATTAGCCAGGCACAGTGACATACACCTGTAGTTCCAGCTACTCAGCAGGATCACTTGAGCCTAGGAGGGTAAGGCATGGCCAGGGCATCTGCAGTGAGCCATGATTGTACCACTGCACTCCAGCCTGGGAGAGAAGGCCCTGTTTCTAAAAACATTAAATTAAAAAAAAAATAACGATGAGATTAATTACGCCCTCCCCCAGTGAGGCAGGGCTGCAGCAAACGCTCAGCCATACACTGGGCAATGCTCAGCTGGTGAAGCTGGTGGCCTCCCAAGCCCACACTCCTCCCTGCAGGCATCCAGGGGGCGCCAGGCAAGGCCCTGCCAGCAGGAAGCAGCCTCTACCGTCCCCTGCCTATGCCCCCCTCTACTAAAGGCCTGAAGAGGGAACAGGCCAGGTGAGTAGGGCTGACCCTGCACCCAGTGGGGAGCCTATCACCTCAACCACCACACCATCTGCAAGCTCAGCCTCCTAGGCTCAGCAGCCCCTGCCGGCCTCCCAGAGCTGGTGGCCTCCTCAACCCCGCCTCCCCAAGTGACAGGGGGTACCGCCCACTGTCCACTTCCAGACCTAAGCCCCTTCCGGCCACCTCACTGTGGCCGCCCGGGACCCCGTGGGTCTCTGCTTGCTCCCTATCACCAGGATGAAATTCACATGTGTCCTGGCATGCAGCAGGCATCATCTAATGGGGACAGCCAACCAGCACCCCCCCGCCTCACTTCCTCCTGTGTAGCAGCCCCTGGCTGCATCACCCCGTTCAGCCCTCCATCTGGGACCCCACACCCTGCCCTCCCATGGCAGCCCCCACACAGCTCTTGGCTCTGCCCGGACCCCACTCCTTCCCAAGCCTTGTGAAGCCTGCCTAGATGATAGTACCCTTGGCTGGGTTTCTTTTATTTTTTTAAGACAGAGTCTCATTCTATCACCCAGGCTAGAGTGCAGTGGTGCAATCTCGGCTCACTGCAACCTCTGAGACTCAAGCAGCACTTGTGCCTCAGCCTCCCCAGTAGTTGAGATTACAGGTGTGTGCTGCCATGCCTGGCTAATTTTTATATTTTGGGTAGAGATGGGTTTTTTATTTATTTGAGATGGAGTCTCACTCTGTCGCCAGGCAGAAGTGCAGTGGTGCGATCTCGGCTCACTGCAACCTCTGCCTCCCGGGTTCAAGTGATTCTCCTGCCTCAGCCTCCCAAGTAGCTGGGACTACAGGCACCCACCACCACACCCAGCTAATTTTTGTATTTATAGTAGAGACAGGGTTTCACCATGTTGGTCAGGCTGGTCTCAATTTCTGACCTCATGATCCGCCTGCCTTGGCCTCCCAAAGGGCTGGGATTATAGGCATGAGCCAGCACGCCCGGCCAGAGACAGGGTTTTGTCACATTGGCCAGGCTGGTCTTGAACTCCTGGCCTCAAGTGATCCTCCCTCTTTGGTCCCCCAAAGAGCTGGGATTACAGGCATGAGCAACCACACCCAGCCTTGGCTGGATTTCTGAGCAGCAGTTCCCAGTCAGCATGCCCAGGTCCGAGCCTGCTCAATACCCAACGCCCCACCTTCCCCAGACGTCACAAATACGAACGTGGGAAGCCACTGCCCTAACGTGCCCAGGGGAACCACAGAGCTGCACAGGACCAGGTGCACGTGGCTCCACGTTTACCCCCCCACCAGTGTCTGGAGGGGAGGTGCCACACCCAAGGGCTCCAGACCCTCCAAGCCCGTGCCCGCCTGGAGGCCACACCCCCAGTGTGTCCTGGCACCATCACCACAGGGCAGGTAGGGTCAACCTCAAAAGGGCTATGCCCCCCAACCTGCAGGCCAGGGCCTTCCCAAGCCACCGCAGGGGTTCAGGCCAGTTCTCTCCAGACGGGACCAGGCACACTCCCAGCGATACAGCAGGAGACCAGACCGGCTCCGTTAGGCCACTCAAAAAACTCACATGAGCCAGGCACTCTGGCTCACACCTGTAATCCCAGCACTTTGGGAGGCCAAGGCGGGCAGATTATGAGGTTAAAAGATCAACACCCACCTGGCCAACATGGTGAAACCCTGTAGCTACAAAAAATACAAAAATTATCCGGGCGTGGTGGTGCACACCTATAGTCCCAGCTACTCGGGAGGCTAAGGCAGAATGACTTGAACCCAGGGGCTGCAGGTTGCAGTGAGCTAAGCCTGGTGAGAGCAAGATTCTGTCTCAAGACAACAAAAACAACAGCACCACATGACACCGAGAAAGGGCAGGGCAGGTGGATCTGCAGCCCCAGCCAAAAGAGCACAGAAGGGCCCTGGAGGAGCCAGAGGCCTGGGGGTGCCCAGGACAGCACAAGCGAGGGCTTCACCCCCCTCTCAGGGCTCAGCAGCCACCCTCTCCTCCCTCAGGAGGGACAGAGCTGAGTACACACCAAGGGACACACGGAAAAGGCCACAGCACCTGTCCAGCAGCACGTCCCACAACCAGACCACAGGGCACAGCACCCAGGCCCTCTCCTCTACCCACCAGCCCACCACCCACTGCCTGCCAGGCAGTGCCCTCCTAACCAGAGCCTCTAACAGCACGAGACAGGGAAGGTGCCCATGGCTCCCAACAGGCCGGCAGAGCCAGTGCAGGCATGCCCAGCCCCAGCACCCAGCACAGGCGTGCCCAGCCCCAGCACCCAGCGCAGGCGTGCCCAGCCCCAGCACCCAGCGCCACTGCCCCCAACGTACCTTCCTTGGTGGGGAGGTGGGCCCGGCTCAGGGGCAGGCGGCACAGCCGGTGTGTGGTGACCTGTACCAGGCCCTTGTTGGGGGTCTTCTTCAGGACGGGGCTGCTCTTCCCCCGGAGGGCCTGTCTCCGCCGGAGGCTGAGGTGGCTCTTGGCGGTGGTGGCAAGTGAGGGGCTGCTTTTCTTGTCTCCAGGAAGGCTGTGGAAACAAAATGCAGGCAGCTCTCAATAGGCCCTGGGGGCTCTGCCCACTCACCCTTCCTCGCCAGGGCTCAAGAGGCATGGGAGCAGCCCCCATGGTCAGGGCCAGGCCTCCCCCAACAGCAGCTCAGTCCACTCTCCACAGCCAGGCTGAGGTGGTGGGCTTGAACCCACAAGCCCAGATGACTCCTGAGCTAGGACAGGCTGCCATGGAGAGAAGAGGGACCTCAGTGCTCCATCACCACCTGCGTGCCACCTCCTCCCCATCGGCCCAGGCCAGAGCCCCTGTGTGGGGCAAAGGGAGCAGCCGCCGGCTCCATATGGCCTTCCAAGCCTCCTCGGTAAGGGGGCAGCTTCTCTACACTCCCTCTCCACATTCCCGGACAGAGAGAGCCACCAGCATGGTTTATAGCAGAGCTGCCAGGAGCAGGATCCGGGCGCCTGTGAGCCTCAAGACAGTGCCTGTCTAAGGGACCAGGGCCAGAGAGAACGAGCTACATGAGCCAGCAACCTAGGCCAGACAGCAGGGGTTCCCAGCAAGGAGGTGCCTTCGAGACGGGGCGCCACCGTGCCTGACGATGAAGGCAGGACCTCTGTCCTCTGCCCAGCAGGTGCAGCCACCACCTCAGCTGCCGACCTGATGGGAGTCCCTGAGCCCAGACCCAGCACTGTGCCATGACACCACCTGAGTCTCATCCCAAGTCCGCAAGGGTGGAAGGCCAGGAGAGATGCGTGTCAAGCAAGGGAGTGACTGCCCAGCTGCTTGGCCAAGGGGGCTGGGACCTAACACCAATCTGCCCACCCTGGAGCCAAAGAGCAACTGTGGCCTCCGCACTCTGCGACGGAGGCCACAGAGCCCAAGCCAGGAACACCCAAGGAGGCTGCCGCCTACCAGTACCCCCCAGCTCCCGCCCACTCAGCCCAGCAGGAGCAGCCCTCAGCCTGGGGACCAGCAAAGGCCAGGCCTCCTGGAGCCCAAGCCCTAGACTCAGGGCATGCAGGAAAAATCAGGCACCCCTGGCAGGACCCAGAGCCCCAGTCTACCTCCCAGCACAGACCTGTGGCCGGCAGCTCCAGGCCAGGGGCAGACACACTGCTCTCACTGTCTCACCTCCTGGGGACACATGGACCCTGGTCTGGTCCCTGGGGGCTGCTCCCCCTGCACCTGGCCTGGCACAAAGCCTTCCATCTGTGAACCCTGGACAACTGGAACAGAAGCTGCCCCCCAGTAACCTTCTCATCTCTTCCCGGCAGGAGAAAGGACAGGCTTGCCAGCACCATGAGGGAGGGGCACCTGCCCTCCCCAGTCTGTGCTGGGCCCTAGACAAGCCCCCGAACCACCCTGAGCCTGACCCACAGGCTCTGCTAGACACTAGCACTCCCTGCCTCATTCCTTGCTGGAAATGTGAATCTCACTGCAGGCGAAGCTCCAAGCTCAGCGGATGCACCTGGAGTGCCAACAAACCCTCCTCAAAGCCCCTCCCACTCCACCACAGCTGACGGAGATGCCCAGCAAACCCTCCTCACAGCCCCTCACACTCCACCGCAGCCGACGGAGATGCCCACCTGGTACTGCCCCGCCTCCGGACGATCTTGGTGCGGCTCTTCACTTTGTAAGCTGAGGGTGAGGTCTCCCCAGAGAGGGGCTTCAAGCCACTGGGTCCTACTGCTGGTCCGTCCCCTGATGGGGACCTAGACAGGACCGGGGAGAGCTGGGAGGCACGTTCCTTGCTGCTAGCCTCCGACTGCCAACGGAAGGAGGAAGAGGAGGAGGCAGAAGGGCTGGATGCCTTCCACTTGTACTTGCTGGGGGCAGACCCTGGCTGGGAGGATGTGGCTGCCTTCCTGGGCTTGAGCTCTGGGTCAGCTCTGAGCTGTGGCTTCTCCACCTTGCCTGCCACGCCGGCTGCAGCCTTGCACACGTTCTCTGCAGCCACTCTGGGACTGAGCACCCTCCGAGCGGCCCGAGGACTCTTCGCGGAGGCGGCCACCCATTTGTAGTTGTTTTTCCGGAACTTGTTAGTTCGACAGGACACCAGCGGCGAGGCCTCCCGGGCCTGCCTGGGTCCCGAGGCCGGTCTGGCTGGACCCACCACTGAGCCAGACGGAACTGGCTGATCTGCAGGGCCAGCATCTACTCTCCCATCCCCGAGGAGCTGTGTAGCACGGCTGGCCACAGAATGAGAACCCACCTTCCGGCCGAGGGCCATGCCAGTGCGTGGGGGCAGAGTAGAGGATGGGAAGCTGGCCTTGACAGCAATCACACTCTCACTGGCAGTCCGGCGGGGCTCCAGGGGGCTGTCGCCTACGTTGCCCACAGACTTCACCACCCTGGGCTTACCAGGCTCCTTCTGGCAGACCAGAAGAGGATCTTCCACACTGCAGGTGCCCCTGGCTCTTGCTGGTCTTGAGGGCTGCAGCTGTCCCCCAGGGGGCTCACCTTCACCTTCCTGGGGCCTTTGGTCACTCCAGGAGGTGTCCTCATATTCTTCCAAAGAGCCCCGCTGGGCCCCTGAGGCCTTGGCAGAGCCAGACTTTGATGGAGGTTTAATTTTGATGACCATGTTCTGACCTTGACTGAGCCGGACCTGTCTCTCAAGGACATGCTGCTGTGGGTCAGGAGCCTGGCCACCCCTAGCCCCGTGCAATGGCTGCACAGCATGGTCGCCAGGTGGGTCTGAGGGTCCCAGAGGCCGATTCACAAGGGAGTATTTCTTGCGCCACGAAGTGCCATGGTGTGAGGAGTAGCCCCTCCGGCTTGGACGAGGGTAGCGGGCACTGAAGGCCCTGCCACTGTGGTAAGTGGGTGGCTGCCACTGGGAAGCTGCTGGCGTGCCTGGGGCTGGGGCATTGCCATGGAGGGTTTTGTAGTCATCGATCAGACCTGAGAAGACAGAACCATAGGCTCAGCTGGCCAGAGGGTAATGCAACAATCATGACCACCCCCGAAGGGCATCAGTGGCAAGATACCCCCAGACCCCATCTCACGTCTGAGCCCCTGCCAGTTTCAGGAGGGACAGCCCCCAGCACCTGGGACTCACTGACAACTCAGCCCACGTCACGTGGGCTTGTCGCTTCCATGAGTCTTTTCTCCATCAGCTCCACTTCAATCCTAGTTTTGCCTGCTTAACACAAAAATGAACTACGTGGTACAACAACCCCTATTTGCTAGTCTACTGGGTCCACAATCCTTTGATGAGAAGTATCACTCAGTATAAAGAGAACAGCAGCGATCCCCTCTGTATTATTTGGATCAGAGGAGACAAGTTGACGGCACAGGCCCTCTGGCTTGCCCACAGATGGAAAGGGGGTACTCCACTGAGTGTAACAGAACTGAGGACCCCATGCCTGACAAAAGAAAACAAGAATACTACCAGGCACGGTGGCCCATGCCTGTAATCCCAGCACTTTGGGAGGCCGAGGCGGGCAGATCACGAGATCAGGAGTTCAAGACCAGCCTGGCCAAGATGGTGAAACTCTGTCTCTACTAAAAATACAAAAATTAGCTGGGCATGATAGTGTGCGCCTGTAATCCCAGCTACTCGGGAGGTTGAGGCAGAGAACTGCTTGAACCCAGGGGGCAGGGATTGCAGTGAGCCGAGATCATGCCACTGTACTCCAGCCTGGGTGACACAGCAAGACTCCAACTCAAAAAAAGAAAACAAGAGTACTAGAAGCGTAGACCACTGCCCTATCAGATGTCACGGTCTTCCCTGCAGAAGAGGAGAGAGCAATGGGCTGGAGTCCTACTGCAATGAACTGATACAACCACAATTAAGTCCCTGGATAGTAGAAGGGCCAGGAACACAGGCAAGGGCAGCAGCAGCCAGGGTGGTGCTCCGACTCACCCAGCAAACCAGCAACAGCCAGACTCCCACGTCAGCATCCCCTGCCACAGCCCCTGCCCCCAGGGGCACAGAAAACCATGTCCAGACCTGGTGACACCCAAGGGCAGATGAAATGTGAGCCTGAGAAGTGGCCCCAAGTGGGAGGCAGCCCACCTGGCCTCTCCTGCATACACACTTTCCCAATCCTTAAGTCCTTCCTTTGCAAGAGTAAAAGCAAAAAGGATTTTTCATTTTCATTTTCTTTTTATTAGTTTTTGTTTGGTTGGTTGGTTTTGGCTTTTGAGACGGATTTTGCTGTTGCCCAGGCTAAAGAGCAGAGGCCCAAACACAGCTCACTGCAGCCAGGACCTCCTGGGCACAAGCGAACCTTCCACCTCAGCCTCTGAGTAGCTGGCACTACAGGCGCGAGCCACCAAGCCCATCTCATTTTTTAACATTTCTCTGTAGAGACAGGGTCTCGCCAGGTTGCCCAGGAAGGTCTCAAATTCCTGGGCTCAAGACATCCTCCTGCCACGGCCTCTCAAAGTGCTGGGATTACAGGCGTGGGCCACTGCGTCTGCACATGAATTTTTGTTTGTTTTATTTTGTTTAAGTTTGGAAAGACCAATTTGGGTTTTAAAATATTTAAGTGTGTAAGCTGAAGCCTGTTGAGTCTGCGCCTGGAATAGCAAGAGGAATGTGACCGTCCGGAGAAAGGGGGCATCAAAACCGGGAGTCCAGGCCAGGCGCGGTGGCTCACGCCTGTAATCCCAACACTCTGGGAGGCCGAGGCGAGTGGATCACCTGAGGTCAGGCGTTAGAGACCAGCCTGGCCGATATGGTGAAACCCCGTCTCTATTAAAAATACAAAAATTAGCCGGGCGTGGCGGCGCATGCCTGTAGCCCCAGCTACTGGGGAGGCTGAGGCAGGAGAATCGCTTGAACCGGGAGGCGGAGGTTAGAGTGAGCCGAGATCGCGCCACTGCACTCCAGCCTGGGCGACAGAGCACGCCTCTGTCTCTAAAAAACAATCAAACAAATAAAAATGGGCGTGAAGGGAGGAACCTGCGTGCGCCCCGAGCCTGCTCTGCCGCAGTGAGGCAGGAACCGGTCCCAGCCCCGCAGCGGGGCGCGGGGAGAGAGGGTGGGCGCCGGATAAGCCAACAGCTCGGGGGCCGGGTGGGCCGCCGCCTCCCGCGGGTTACTAAGCGACGGCCCCGCCCCCGCCTCCGCAGCCGCCGCAGGGCCGGTCCCACTCCCTCCGCAGCTGGAGCAGGGGCCTGACCCGCGCCCCGGCCGGCCCGCAAGTCCTCACAGACCCTACGGTCCCCCACCCCAGCCGACACTCGGAACCCGCGGGCGGAGAGCGACCCCTCCGACAAGGGGGGCTGGGGACCCGCCGCGAGGTGAGGCGGGAAGAAGGGGACTCGCGTCCCGGCCCCGGTAGGACCTACCCTGCAGGAGGCGGATCTGCCGCCGTAATATCTCCTTTTCCTCCATCTCCTGAGTCCCCGACGCCCGGCCAGGCCCCCGCGACGTCATCGCTACGCGACCGTTTCCCCGCGGGCGGGGCGGGGCGGGCCGGGGCGGAGCCGCGGGGAAACGGCCCGGATGTCTGCCGGCTGCCTGCGACGCGCCGTCGCCCTGGCAATGGCCGCGGGGAGGCGGAGCCGCGCAGACGCAGAGAAGGCGGGACGTCACTAGTGAGCGCCCGGAAGTGGCCCGGTCGCGGCCGGGAAGCGGCGGCTCGGGTTCTGAGGGGCCGTGCGGCTCGGTTTGTGCCGCCCGGGCTCGCGTCCCCTTGGGAGACTGCGGGAGGGGCGAGACCTGGGGCCGTCCCGGGCCGCACCGCAGCTCCTTCCCACGTCCCTGCGTTTCATTTCGCGCCGGTTGAGAGTTAGGCTCTACAGGGGGGCCCCATGGGAGAAGGGCCGGTTAACAGTTACTGTTGACCCGGGAAGCCCGGTGGACGCTCTCACCGTGGCCGGAGGAGAAGACGCAGGAGGGCGAGGGTCCTTGGATAGACATGGCGGAGCTCTGAAGGCGTGAAAGCTTTTGGCTCGTCAGTAGAAACGTGTTTCATTGTAAATCTCCGTGCGCTGTGGGGTGGGAATGTAAATGGCGCGGCGCCGCAGAAAACTGGTGAGATCCCTCAAGAGGTGAAAAGGAGAACTGCCGGGTGTGAGGGCGATCTGGCCGCGACGCCTGTCACCCCAGTAACCGCCAGGCTTGATTCGGCTGCTCTGGCTGGCTGGGCGGATGTCCCTTCCTTCCTCCCCGCTTCGAGTGCGTCCCTCCCGAAGCTGCGGCTCAGTCGAACAGGCCGACCATACCCGATAGAGGAGCTGCCCTCCCCCGCTAGAACCTCCAAACAAGCGCTCAAGGTCCATTTGTAGGAGAGCGTAGGGTTGTCAAGACTCCACAAACACATCCACATAAGGCGCTGCATGTGGCAGTCTGCCTTTCTAGAAGAAAAAATGGAGAACTACCGTATGATCCAGCAACCCTACTTCTGCCTACATTCCCAAAGGAATGGAAATCAGAGACTCAGACCTAATTTGTGCCCTCCGTGTTCACTGCAGCATGTTTCACAAGAGCCAAAGGAAAACAGCCCATGCGTCCATGGGTGGATGGAAGGATAAACAAAATGTGGTCCATACAAACAATGAAATATTTTTCACCCTTAAAAAGGAAGGAGATTCTAACACAGGATACACCATGGGTAAACCCTGAAAACGTGCTATGTAGAATAAGCCACTCGCAAAAAGACAAATGCATCATTTACTTACCTTAAGTATCTAGAATGAAGATTCTTAGAGACAGAAGGTAGATTAGATTAAAGGTTCAGGGGCTGGGATAAGGAGGATTGAAGAAGCATTGTTTAATAGGTGTAGGGTTTCCTTTTGGAGTGATGAAAACGTTTTGAAAGTAGTGGTGATGGTTATACAAAGTTGTGACGGTAATAATACCACTGAATTGTACACATTAAAATGGCTAGGCTGGGCCAGGTGGCTCACTTCTGCAATCCCAGCACTTTGGGAGACCAAGGTGGGTGGATCATGAGGTCAGGAGTTCAAGACCAGCCTGGCCAACATGGCGAAAGCCCGTCTCTACTAAAAATACAAACCTAGCAGGGCATGGTGGCAGGCACCTGTAATCCCAGCTACTCAGGAGGCTGAGGCAGGAGAATTGCTTGAACCTGGAGGCAGAGGTTGCAGTGAGCCAGAATTGTGCCACTCACTCCAGGCTGAGGAACAAAGCAAGACTCTGTCTCAGAAAAAAAAAAGTGAAAATGACAACTTTTATGCTGTAAAAATTTTACTACAGTGCATAAGGAATAAGCAGTGTTAAAAGTTCTTCAGGCCTGGTGCAGTGGTCACGCCTGTAACCCCAGCACTTTGGGAGGCTGAGGTGGGCGGACCACCTCAAGTCAGGAGTTAGAGACCAGCCTGACCAACATGGTAAAACCCGTCTCTACTAAAAATTGAAAAATTAGCCGGGCATGGTGGCAGGCACCTGTAATCCCAGCTATTCAAGAGGTTGAGGCAGGAGAATCACTTAAAGCCGGGAAGTGGAGGTTGCAGTGAGCCAAGATGGCACCATTGCACTCCAGCCTGGGTAACAAGAGTGAAACTCCATGCATGGTGGCGCATGCCTGTGATCCCATCACTTTGGGAGGCCGAGGCGGGGAGATCACAAGGTCAGGAGTTCGAGACCAGCCTGGCCAACATAGTGAAACCCCGTCTCTGCTAAAAATACAAAAATTAGCTGGGTGTGGTGTCTCGCATCTGTAGTCCCAGCTACTCAGAGGCTGAGGCAGGAGAATTGCTTGAACTTGGGGGAATTGCTTGAACCTGGGAGGTGGAAGTTGTAGTGGGCCGAGACCATGCCATTGCATTCCAGCCTGGGCAGCAGAGTAACACTCCATCTCAAAAAAAAAGAAAAAAAGTTCTTCAGGCTGAAGATGATACAAGGTGATACAATATGGAGGCTCAGATCTACAAAATGGAAGAGCATAGGAAATGAGAAATGTGTTAGAAAAATTTTTATTTTCTATAAAACAAGTAGGTGCAGCAAAAATAAGATATCAAGGTTTCTAACGTATGTAGATGTGAAACGTGGCAACAGTGGCGCAGAGGACTCGCATGCACACAGGTAAGGATGCAGTCTGTGGCCTCCACCCAGCCTGCCTCTGGCCTGCTCCCAAGGCCAGCATCTGAACCTCTCACCAGGGGCTGGCATCACTCTACCTCACATACAGTGACAGGCACTGTGGGGGCTTCTCTAGTGGCGGCGGCAAAGACAGCTTGCTGGCTGAAGAGAGCTGGCTCCCCATGCAGAAGGACGAGTGGAGGCTCGGAAGCCCATGCAGTAGAACGGGCCAACCCAGGCCATGGGACCCCCAGCCAGGACTCCCACCTAGCCCAGGTGGATCTGGGGAGAGGCAGAATCCACCTGAAGCCATCTTTGCTTCCTCCTGCCTTGCAGACCCCATCCAGGCACCACCCAGTCCTATGCTCCCTCCTCATCCTCCTCCTCTCCCACTGCAACTCTCCCAGCTGAACACTTAGCTAGAGTTTCTGTCTCTCTCCTTCCAGGTGGCCAGGAGTGGCCTGTAGACAGGCCTGTGGGCCACCGTGAGAGGACTCGGAGTGAATGGGATGAAATTTCCCATCAGGGGTCTTGATGAGCACTCATGCAGTGAACTAGCCCTGTCGCGTTTCCCTCAAGACTCTTGTGACTGTTGCCTCGTGACAGCTGGGGCTGGCCTGCTCGGCCATGACCAGCACATGTGGAGCACTGAGAACGGAATATGTGTGTCACCACGTGCTGAATTCATCTATTGAAATCCTGACCGTCAATGTGATCGTATGAGGAAGTAGGGCCTCTGGAAGGTGGTTAGGTCATGAAAGTGGAGCCCTTGTGAATGGGACTCGTGCCCTGTAAGAAGCAACAGTGGGGCTGGGTGCCATGGCTCCCCAAGTAGTCCCAGCACTTGGGGAGGCCGAGGTGGGTAGATCACAAGATCAGGAGTTTGGGACTATCCTGGCCAACATAGTGAACATTATTCTCTACTAAACACAAAAATTAGCCAGGTGTGGTGGCATGCACCCGTAATCCCAGCTATGGGGGAGACTAAGGTAGGAGAATCGCTTGAACCTGAGACAGGGAGGTTGAAGTGAGCCGAGATTGCACCATTGTGGTCCAGCCTGGGTGACAGAGCAAGATTTCGTCTAAAAAAAAAAATTATCCAGGCGTGGTGGCAGGTGCCTGTAGTCCCAGCTATTTGGGAGGCTGAGGCAGGAGAATGGCTTGAACCAGGGACGCAGAGGTTGCAGTGAGCCGAGATTTCGCCACTGCACTCTAGCCTGGGTGACAGAGCAGGACTCTTACCTAAAAAAAAAAAAAAAAAAAAAACAGCAGCACAGCAGCCGCCAGAGACTAGCTCTCTTTTCTCCACCATGTGATAACACAGCAAGATGACAGCTAGGCCAGGAGTGTTGGGTCATGCCTGCAATCCCAGCACTTTGGAAGATCCAGACAGGCAGATCACTTGAGCCCAGGAGTTCAAGACCAGCTTGGACAACATGGTGAAACCCCATCTCTATGAAAAATACCAAAAATCAGTTGGGCATGATGCTGTGTATCTGTAGTCCCAGCTACTAGGGAGGCTGAGGTGGGAGGATTGATTGAACTCAGGAGGTCGAGGCTGCAGTGAGCTGTGATCACACCACTGCACTCCAGCCTGGGCAGCAGAGCGAGATCCTGTCTCAAAAAAAGCAAGAAAGAAAGGGGAAAAGATGGTTGGGGGAGAGAGAAAGAGAGAGAGGGAAAGAGAAAACAACTGACTGTGTGTCTGTGTGTCACAGGGCAAACCGCCAAATTGGGGCTCAGGCCAGGAGCCCATATGGGTTCTTGAGTTCACACAGGAAAGAATTTAAGAGCAAGCCAACAGGGGAGCCAGCCTGTACGTTTTCTAATGGACACGGGGGCTGAACATTCTACACTGCAAACACCCTTGGGCAGTGTCTCCAACAGAAGGGTGGCTGCACGGGGGGCTACTGGAGCTATTCAGGAATATCCTGTCACCCATTCACGTGAGGTGAACTTTAGGTCAAAAGAGAGTAACTCATTCATTTCTAGTAGTTCCAGAGTGCCCCTTCCGTCTCCTTGGGCAAAACCTGCTTTATGAGTTGCAGACATCCATCTCCTCAGCTCAGCAAGTTCGTCTCAAGTTAGGGGACAGATTCCCCTCCTGCTCAGCTCCTGCTGCCTGCCCCCTATCAGAGGAATCTCTCTTAGTCTTGTCCTCACAGCCGAAAAAGGGCAAAACTCACCCTCTCCTACTAGGTCTGCAAACTCTTTTTCCCCGGATCTGGGCAGAATCGAATCCTCCAGGACTGGCCAAGCACCATCTGCCGGCAGTTGTAGAACTTCTGGCTACTGCCCTGCCTGTTCCAGTCAAGCAATACCCTATGAGTCAGCGGGCTAGAGAGGGAATCAGCCCCCACATTCAACGGCTCTTACAAGCCAGTATACCTACACCTTGCCAGTCTGCTT